GTCAACTATCCATAGCCGTAATAACAGTAATATTCCAGCTGCCTACATTCCCCTCTTAACTGAATAAGGTATTTTTCAGTTCCTGACTCTGAATGCCATATAGTATCACTGACACTTCTACAGATGATTGTCGTGATCTCACACTGACATGCCACATTTCAGTGGTGTGTAAAGTGATCTCTCTCTGTATATTTAAGACACGATACAACAGCCCCTATTCACATGATTAACAGCTACACGATTAGACTTGTGGCTTTTAATTCTGTATGATGCTTTTAGACTCGCAGAAGACAGTGGAGGCCAAAGCCAGAATTCAGAGTCTGAGCCAGGTGCTGAGCCTGTATGTGCAAAGGATGGCTAAGAAAACATCCACTGAAGTCATACAGCAGCTGCAGGCACACTTTGTGAGGGCTATGTTCTTCTACACAGCTGCTTGCACAGCTCCTTATGCTAGGATTTTGGAAGGAGAGAAAGATCTGTCTAGTCCTTTTCTCATGCCCATTGGCCTGCTGCCATATAGGAACCTATGTTAAAGTTTAAAAAAATGAATAGTAGAGCACTGAGGAATAGTTACATATATTTAGTATAACTATCGGGTAAGAGAAAGCTTTCTTGGTTGAATGCTTCTTTGTGATATTCTCCTTTAAAACAGTGCTAGTGATAATTCTGACACCTCTTCAGTTCTCATCTGTCCACACAAATTTCAGAAACAGTAGCTTAATTCAAATATAAATAATCTAAAAAAGTGTTTGTTGAACAAGCTTTAGTTAAAGTGACCCCACTACCATTTTGAAGCTCAAGACACTGAATACATGAGTGGTTCCCAAGAGCTATTCCAATTAAAATGTCCCACCCCAGAGCACGTGTAAAGGTACCCTACTGCATTATTCAAGGTTGCAAAGTTATTTGTTATTTATGTATCTATTAGAAGTAATCCTTGCATGAACTCCCTTTAATAAACAAATTTTCAGTTAAAAACACTAGTGAAATGCAATAATTACAGCAAATAGCAAACACGGCTTTTTGGTGACAAACAGCAAGAAAAACAGCTCTCTACCATGACTCCAGTCATGTCCCCCATGCTGATAAGCACACGTTACATTGTCACGGCACTAACGGGTTTCAGCATTTGCTCTTATTTATGTCACTATGTTACATTTCCACAAGGTGATACAAAAAAAGCATTCTTGATGCTGTGCACTGATGTATGTAACATGGTGGCAATTTAAACCACAAGGTACAATTGCTGTGGTTAGGGCCAGGTACAAATGCTACACTTATTGCACAATAAGCACTCAAAAGCGCTCTACACCTGTAACTGAACAGATGTTTACTGTACATAGACTGCTTTAAACATGATGGATTCCAGTTTAGGATATACCTGGATATATGTAGTATCAGACTGCACTTCAGGTTAGAGCACACTATCAAATGCATGCGCCACATCCCCTTGAGACTTAAGTTCAGCTGCAGTCCCCTGGTGTTCTGGGGGCTCCTCCCTGGGCAGCATGCCAGCCTCAGCCAGAGCTCATCTGGTTCAGGTGAGCACTGGCCCAACCCCACTCCCCAGGGCTGTCACACAGAAAAGACAGAAAAGGCTGGATAGGCTTTTTGCCATAGGGGGAAGAAACAGAGCTCCCCCCCGCTGCACAAGCCTCTCAGCTTCCTGGTTTATAGTTTTGGGAGGAGCCAATCTGGGCCAGGCCCATTGTGCAGTGGGACTCCCCCCACCCACTCATCCCCCATCTGGTGTAGGAGGAATAGTGCCCCTGTGGCAGGGCACTATGTGTGCCTGCCACTTTAAGGCTCTGGAGCTGGCAGTCTCCAGGTGCCTAATGAGGGCAGCCATTTTAGGCTCAGGGCTGCCTATATAAACAAGGCAGTTTGGCTGCTGGAGGTCAGGCAACAACACTGCCTGGCCAGAGAGCTGCGGAGTTTCATCCAGAGGTTTGGGAGAGGCTGTTAGGGGATGGAGGAGGCCTCATTTTTGGGGGGCACAGACCCTGGTGCCAGCAAGGGTGCAGCTTTGGGGGGGGGGGGTACAGACCCTGACACCAGTGAGGGCACAGCCTTTTTTGGGGAGCAGACCCCAGTGCCAGTGAGGGCACAGCCTTTTGGGATGAGACTAACCCCGGCACTGGAAGGATAAACTTAAAAAGGCCAGGGATGCCTGCTGTGGGGGTGTGCAAGGATATATATAAGAGGTTTTTTGTGTGTGTTGTTGCTGGGACTGGCGGGTTGCCCCTGGTTTTGAACTGGTGGCCCCTTTGCTGTGGGGCCAGTGTCCGCGCCCCTGGGCCAGGGGGGGCCTTGCTCCAGAAAGGAACAGAAAAGGGGGCCACGAGCTTCCAGGCACTTGAAGGAAAAGCTAGAGCCTCAGGGTCAAACCCTGTGTGGTGGGTTTGGATGAGGAGGCCTAGCTAGAATAAAAGGGGTCAGGCCATTCTAGGAGAGACCCCAACATACCCAATAGAATAGGCAGTCTCCCACTCTCATAATA